TGTCAGTTATTACTTCTCTTTCATTTCTGATTTTGTGTATTTGGCTTCTCTCTCTTTGTTTCTTGGTATGTCTAGCTAAGGGTCCATCAATCTTGTTTATCTTTTCAAAAAGCCAGCTCTTTGTTTCACTGATCCTTTGAATTGTTTTTTTTTGGTCTCCATATTGTTTATTTCTGCTCTGATCTTTACTATTTTCTTCCTTCTACTTGCTCTGGGGTTTTCTTTTTGTTTGCTTTTTAGTTCTTTAAGTTGTGAGGTTAGGTAGTCTATTAGAAATTTTTATTGTTTCTTGAGGTAGGCCTGTAGTGCTATGAACTTCCCTCTTAGAACTGCTTTCGGTGCATCTCATAGATTTTGTTGTTGTGTGTTCATTTTCATTGGTTTCCAGGAAGTTTTTAATTTCTTCCTTGATCTCCATGGTAACTCACTCATTGTTCAATAATGTGCTATTTAGCCTCCATGTTTTTAAATTGATTTCTAGTTTCATGCCATTGTGATCTGAGAAAATGCTTGATATGATTTCAATCTTCTTGAACTTGTAGAGACTTAGTTTGTGCCTTAACACGTGATCTATCTTTGAGAATGTCCCATGTGCACTTGAGAAGAATATGAATTCTGTAATTTTGGGGTGTAATTCTCTGTAGGTATCTATTAAATTCATTTGATCTAGTGCTTCATTTAGAGTCTCTGTTTGCTTGCTAATTTTTTGTTTAGATGATCCATCCAGTGATGTCAGCAGGGTGTTGAAGTCCCCTGCTATGATTGTATTGCTGTCAATTTCTCCTTTGAAGTTCTCCAGAAGATTTTAAATATATTTTGTTGCTCCTATATTGGGTGCATATATGTTTACCAAGGTTATATCTTCCTGTTGTATAGATCCTTTCAATATTATGTAGTGGCCTTCTTTGTCTCTAGTTATGGCCTTTATTTTGAAATCTAATTTATCAGATATGAATATTGCTACTCCAGCTTTTTTTTTCCTTTTTGTTTCCTTGGAAGATTTTTTTCCATTCCTATACTTTCAACCTATGTGAGTCTTTTGTTGTAGGTGGGTCTCTGGTAAACAACATATTTGTAATTATTATGTGTCTTAGTGTGGGCCTGTTTGGGTTCTTCTTACTTGGGGCTCTCTGTGTTTCTTTTTTTTTTTTATCCTCATCCAAGGACATTTTTTCATTTTTTGTTCAGATAGAGCAAGAGGGAGAGAGAGAGAGAGAAACATCAACGTGAAAGGTACACATCAAGTGGCTGCCACCCACAGGACCCAACCAGGGCCAGGGACAAACTGCAACCAAGGTACGCGCCCTTAGCGGGAACCAAACCTGAGTCTCTCTGGACCGCAGACCGACGCTCTAACTGCTGAGCCAAACTGGCCAAGGCTGTGCTTCTTGAACTTGAATGCCTCCTTCCTTCACCAAGTTAGGAACGTTTTCTGTCACTATGTCCTCAAATATATTTTTTAACCCTTGCTTATTTTCTTCTTCTTTGGGGACTCCTATGATACGAATGTTATTATGTTTCCAGTTGTCCCACAGTTCTCTTAGGCTGTCTTCCTGTTTTTTAATTGTTTTTTCCTTTTGGTTTTCTGATTGGTTGATTTTTTTTTTTTTTTACCCTGTCTTCTAATTCACTGATCTGGTTCTTAGCTTCCTCTACTCTGTTAAGGACTATTCTGTTAGTCCTTCTAATGTGTTCTTTATTTCTGCTATGTCATTCTTCATTTCCACTTGTTTGGTTTTCAGTGTTTCTATATCTTTATTCATGGTGTTGATGTCCTTACTCATGCTGTTGAGCTTCCTCAAGATCATGGCTCTGAACTCTACCTCTGATAACTTGCTTAACTGCATTTCATTGATTTCATCTTCGGTAGAGTTCTCTTGTTCTTTCATTTGGGAATTGTTTCTTTGTTTCATCATTTTGGCTGTCTCAGTGGGTTTTGGAGACTGCCAAATTTTCCCTGTGAGTGTTGGTGTTCTGCTGTTTGTGGCTCCCTCTACTGGGTTTGGATGAGTATGGGAGGGCTCACGTTAAACACCACTGTCAAGTCTTACTGTCCTGGGTAGATTTTCAAGCCCAGGAAAGGTTCAGTTATTCTCTAGCTTTTTGCCTGGAGGCTATTAGTCTCAGTTACTTATGGTCTTGGAATGTAGCGCTGGTGTTTTGAGTAAGAGGATTTCCAGAGGGTGGGACAGATGCTGGTTGTTAATAAGCCTCAATTTGCATTTCTTTGGCTCACCTTGAGGGGGCTGAATCTCAGAGGGAGGGGCTGCTCTTTCTCCCCACAGCTCCAGGAAGGAGCTAGCTGGCCACTATCATTTGTGGCTGTGACTCAGCAAAAACTCTGAGTGCCCTCCAAATCCTGGGTGTCCCCACTGAGTTCCAGTCAAGTTCGCCCTCCCTTTCCTGGAGCCCAAGGTGAGTGGCTGTAGTCAATCTAGTGCTCTATCCTGGCCCTCTGTGCTGTGGAGCGGGCTCGGGATTTTAACCTGGAGGGCGCTGCTCACAGCTAAGGGCACTGCTGTCTGTGGGTTCCCAACCCACCACCCTCTTGCACCTCCGCAGATCCTGCCAGTGTCCCTGGTTATATGGTCCTTTCCCGCTGCTTTTCTGTTGCTTTTTTTCCAACATTTTGTCTATTTTAGTTGTAATTCCTGTTTGGTCCTGGGAGATTGTCTGTGTAGCTTCCTTTCACTCTGCCACCATTTTTTTCTCTTGAATATTTTCTTTTTAACACAGCACCACATTCTTCTTTTATGAATGTAGCAGCTTCTCTTATTTTCTGAACATGTCGACCATAGCAGAGGCTTTCCTGGTCCTTCTGGTATTCCCTGGCTGGTTTGCTCAAACCACAAGTTGTCCACCCGAAAGTTGACTAGAAACTGTCCATGTCCATGTGGCTTGTTGACTATAGTCTTCGTTGTAGGATCATTTAGCTGGTCCTATTCCTTGGGAGATTTCCCATGTCAAAATCTCAGTTCTTTTCTCTCTCCAAGAGAAGATTTCTATTTTCCTGCCAGGCACATTTTTGTTGACAGCCAAGAGTCTGGGAGCTGAGAAGAGCAGGGGCTGTTGCTTGACTTTGTGGAGATCAACTCCTTTCTTGCTGCCGCTCTTCAGCCTGAGTTTCCAGGGGCCACAGACCTCACCCATCAGGGCCCTCACCAATCCAAGCTGGCCCTGGGGACTAAGGTAGGGGGCCCTCCGTGGTTCCAGACTGCCCCGGAGGCCTGAGCCCACGTGCGCCTCCACACTAGCCTCGGCAGAGCTCTGTGCAATCTCACCTGCTGCTCCCCCCATAACATAAAATTTATCTTAACTTTTTAAGTGTGCAGGTCAGTGATGTTAGGCACATTCACACTGTTGTGCAACCACCACCCTCATTCATCTCCAGGATATTTTTTATCTTGCAAAACGAAACTCTGTACCCATTAAATAATAATTTCCCATTCCTGCCTGGCTGGTATGGCTCAGTGGTTGAACAGTTTGCTGGTATGGCTCAGAGGTTGCCAGTTTGATTCCCAGTCAGGGCACATGCCCATGTTGTGGGCCAAATCCCCAGTGGGGGTGCATGCAGGAGGTGGCCAGTTGATTTCTCTTTCACTGATGTTCTCTCTCATCAATGTTTCTTTCTATCTCTTTCTCCCTCTCCCTTCCTCTCTCTCTCTAAAAATCAATAAAGGAAAAAAAAATTACCCATTCTCTCTACCCCTCCTTAGTCCCTAACAACCACCATTCTATTTTCTATCTCAATGAATTTGACTATTCTAGGTACCTCATATAAATGCAGTCACACAGTATTTGTCTTTTTGTGATGGGCTTATTTCACTTTGCATAATGTCCTCGAAGTTTATTCATGTTGTAGCCTGTGTCAGAATATTCTTCCTCCTTCCATTTCAAGGCTGAGTAATATTCCATTGTATGCATATACTACATTTTGCTTATCTATTCATCTGACTATGGATGCTTGTGTTGTTTGCACATTTTAGCCACTGTGAATAAGGCTGTTATGAATATGGGTGTACAGATATCTCTTTGAGACCTTGCTTTCAATTCTTTTGGCTAAGGTACCCAAAGAAGGTTGCTGGATCATATGGTAGTTCCATTTAAAATTTTTTGAGGAATGCCCATACTGTTTTCCTTAGTAGCTGCACCATTTTACATTGCCACCAGTAGGGCACAAGGGTTCCAATTTCTCTACATCCTCGCCAACACTTGTTATTTTCTGTTTCCTTGATAGCCATCTTAATGGTTATGAAATGGTATCACATTGTGATTTTGATTTGCCTTTCCCTAACAATTAGTGACACTGATCGATCATTTGCATAGCTCAATTGGAGAAATCCAAGTTCTTTGCTTGCTGATTTTTGAATTGGATTGTTTAATTGCTTGTTGAGTTTTTAGAAGTTCTCTCCATATTCTGAATAATTTTTCTTATCAGATATGGTTTGCAAATATCTCATTCCGTAGGTTGCCTTTTCACTCTGGTGATGGTGTCCTCTGATGCACAGAAGTTTTAAATTTTCATGAAGTCCAATTTGTCTGTTTTTTCCTTTGTTGCCTGTTAGAATAAAGTTTTAGTCAAATATTTTTTTCTTCCCACTAGTTACCATAATTTTTGTTCCTGTTTAAAATTTAGGATTTAATAATAAGGACCACCTGCATATAGATAAATTGATATATACACTTATAAGGAGCTGAGCAATGAATTCACAGTGCAAAGGAATATTTAAGTGAAACAAAAGACAGTGTCTAACATTTGTTCATACATAACCTCTCAAGTTTTGCCATTGAGGGTGGAGAATGTGGAAGAAGATGAAAGGACCACATTTAAAGAAGATGGATTGGATTAAATGCCCCTTTATAAATGTGATATGGGTTCCAGAAAGCAATTCTTTGGCATTTTCTTTCTTGCCTATGTGTGATTTGCAGAGAGATCAGATCCCTCAGGAGTTATAAATGTGACCTTAAATGTGGACCACCCTCCCTCTTTTGTTTTTCAGGTTGCAAGTGGCTATCTCGTGGTGGTGTTTGTCTATGTGACAGAATTGATTGGCATGAAGGCTCGGACGTGGGCATCCATCCACGTGCATTCCTTTTTTGCGATAGGAACAATGGTGGTAGCTTTGACTGGCTACTTGGTCAGGACCTGGTGGATCTATCAGATAATCCTCTCCACAGTGACTTTCCCCTTTGTCTTATGCTGTTGGATGCTCCCAGAGACACCTTTTTGGCTTCTTTCAGAGGGAAGATATGAAGAAGCACAAATAGTGGTTGATAAGATGGCCAAGTGGAATAGGGCAAGCACTTGTCAACTGTCAGAACTTTTATCACCAGATGTATATGGTCCTGTTGGTAATAAGCCTCCTGAAGTTAATGAGCACAACCTATTAGATCTGTTTTATGACTGGAATATTGGAACAAGGACACTTATTGTTTGGCTGATTTGGTTCACAGGGTGTTTGGGATTCTATAGCTTCTCCTTAAATTCTGTTAATTTAGGAGGCAATGAATATTTAAACCTCTTTCTCATGGGTAAGTAGTTAAATTATATTTACTGTAACAATGAAATGACATTTCTGCTGTGTTTTTATTGTCTTTTTCTCTACCAGGAACAATACTGCCAGCTACATGATTATGGTTTCTGGTAGTGTTATTATACTGTAACACATGTGTATACAGGGTTGGGCAAAAGTAGGTTTACAGTTGTTCGTATTGAAAATATTACAATAATTAGTAAATAATAATACAAGAATAAACTTTGTTTCACATATTCACAACTGTATTTTTTGGTTTTGATCCTCACCCGAGGATATTTTTCTGTTTATCATCAAATAGAATGGGAGGGAGGGAGAGAGAGAGAAACATTGATGTGAGAGAGACACACTGACTAGTTGACTCCCGCACGACCTGACCAGGGCTGGGGACGAACTGCAACCGAGGTACATGCCCTTGAGTGAAATCAAACCTGCGACTCATTGGTTCACTGACCAATGTGAGCAAAACCGTCTGGGCACATACTCACAACTGTAAATCTACTTTTGCCCACCCTGTATTTTCTTTTTAAAAAACGCGAATAGTCAGACGAATTCAGTCACTCTCTTCTTTTCTGCCTCTTCTCCTTGCTTGCTTCCTTCCTTTAGGCCCATGCCATCTCAGATCTCTCTTTTAGGGGTCACTACTATGAGGTTTGGTTTTGCGCCGTTTCATGTCTCTTTCCATGTTTGTGCAGATAAATGTTTTGTATTTTAGCACAAGTGAGGTCATTCACTGCATGTTGCTCTTTGTATGTTGTTTTCCTTTTAAAATGTAGTATGTCTTGGAAACCTTCTGGTTTCTTTCTTTCTTTAAATGTCCTTTAGGAATTTTAGTCAGTAAAATAACAAATACATCTGGCTATAATTGATGTGTGGTTCTTCTGTTTTAGTAGCAGGTTGAAACTGGCTTCAGATATTGCTGTGATAACTTGAGGTGTGACTCCTAGGGTAAACCAAATTCATGCCAAACATGAGAGAAATAGTAGAAATCTATCTGCGTTTTTTCATCTAGTCTTAACTCATGGTCATTTCCATGCAGGCTGCTTGTGCTTGATACTATCCTCGGAAAAATCTTGCTTTAAATGTATATGTATATGTGTATATATATATATATATATATATATATTTTGTTGTTGTTGTTAATCCTTACTCGAGGATATTTTTCCATTGATTTTTAGACAGAGTGAAAGGGAGGGAGCGAGGGAGGAGGAGGAGGAGAAGGAGAGAGAGAGAGAAACATCAGTGTATCTGGTTGCTTCCTTCATTACCCCAACTAGGGCCGGGAATCGAACCTACAACCCAGGTATGTGCCCTTGACTAGGCACCGAACCTGCCATCCTTTGGTCCGTGGGCTGATGCTCTAACTGCTGAGCCAAACTGGCCAGGGCAAATCTTGCTTTAAAATTTTTATATGTAGAAATCTCATTGAAGTGCTCCGATGACACGTCTATTTTTGTTTATTACAGCTCAGTAGGAATTATGAGGGAAGTCATTTTAAGAAAAACAAAACACAAAATGACCTTTGCTCTCTCTCTCTTTTTTCAGTCCTCACCTGAGGACATTTTTCCATTTTTTTGTTCAGATAGAGTGGGAGGGAAAGAGCGGAAGAGAGAGAGAAACATCGATGTGAAAAGGACACATTGAGTGGCTGCCACCCGCACGACCAACCAGGGCCGGGGACAAACTGCAACGGAGGTACACGTCCTTCGCAGGAACTGAACCTGGGTCTCTTGGGACCGCAGGCGGACGCTCTAACCGCTGAGCCAAACCAGCAGGGCCCTTTGTTCTCTTTTTGAGCAAACCAGCAAGTTTGTAGAAAGAGCCCATATTGACTTCATCCCCATACTATATATCAGTTTGGGAAATGAAGCAGTATTCCTAGAATAGAGCAGCAAATGATAAGAGAATGAAGTGGGGGTGGGGTTTGGTCTGGGGAAGCTCAGGAAAGCTGGGGTTTTAGATCTTTATGATATAGTTTCTTAATTTTGATGGAGATATACATCTTCAAGAAACTGGGCAATCTCATAACTATAAAAATGTTTCTAAGACAAATCTATACAGTTTTATGTTTTCTACCGTCTTGGATTTCTCTCGTCCTTACCCTTTCCGTTGTCCTCTTGCTGACTGGTACTTCCACGCTGTGAAATTTGTGAACAAGTTTTCATCCCTGCGATGTTTTGGGGCTGGTGGGAACTTCAGCTCTGGTTTTGTGCTACTTGCAGGTGATAAGTAACCTGTGGGGTTACGTGCAGATAGGAACAGAATGGGGTCCAAGTGATGAGACAGATTACATGTTATAAAGTGAAGAAAGTAATGAGCCATTATCCTAATCCCGGAAGGGGCGGGCCTCACTGCTTGCCCCGTTTCTATCCCCGACATAGCCAAACGAAATCAGATGTAGTGTCAGTATCCTGAAGCAGCAACTGGAGGAAAACCAGTGTAGTCCACTGCCACGGTCTCTTCAGCTGTTTCCCAGTCCCTACCCAGCTGTGCTAGACTCCAGGAGGGTGTCTGGTGGCTTCACACACATGCTGTAAGGGGACAGCGAGGAGCCCGACGTGCAGGAAGGTAGTAGGACAGGGCAGCTGCAGGCAGGGCCTCGGCTCACCAAGACCTCTCTCCCAGTTCCCAAGCTGTCACTTACCCACTTGGCTCAGATCATTTACTCTTAGTTGTCAAGTAGGGATAATAATCCAGGCTTTCTCCCAGGAAGCTCTTTTGAAGATCACTGTCTTATTTGATCTTGAAAAGTGCTTAATAAACTCTTAAAAAAAAAAAAAAGGTAGAGTAATCGATGCATCTACTGTCCTGGCTTGGACACATGGACCTGATGGCCGCGTCTGTGAAAGGGAGGCATTTGGTCCGGAGCTGTTTCTTTTTCACGTTAATGAGAGAGACCCTCTCAAATGGGGCTCAAAATGTTGTTGTTGTTATTTTTTGCTTTTGTTCTAGCCAGTTTTTTTCTGAGCAGCTGCAACTGAGTTTGATTTCTGAAAATATGTATCCACCCTTTATGATATGTTCTGGAACCTGTGGGCAACATTTAGACCCAGACCAGCCTCTAGGTCTGTAAGCAAGCTTCCGTGGGTGAATGGCCAATGCACAGCACCCTGAGGGGCAGTGGTATGCAGTGTCCTGAGGTTAGAAGCGCTGCACAAGGAGGAACGAACGGAACTTTGAATACAAGGAAGATTGTTGGGTCTAGTTTTGCTGAGAGATCGTTCTTGCTTCCTGTTTGGTTCTGGCTGATGGCTTTTTTGTTCTGGCGCTAAGATCCAGACTGGTTCTTCAAGGGAAGGGCTTTTATGTCAATTATGGATTCAGCTCTGTAATTTTTGTTGTGAGGGAGTAAAAAGAGGTCCAAAACAAAGCCCCTGTTCTATAGGTGATTCCTATTAGATTAAAAATGTTTACTTTTAGGCTTAAAATCCTGCAAGCAATTATTGTTAGTTTTTGACACTGGATTTTCTACTTTAGTTTCTAAGTTTGAAGTTACTGCTACAAAAATTCCCTCCTACTTTTGTCAAGCAGGAGAAACCACAGATCAGAAATTATCCATGTTGTTTATTACTTTTGCTTATTTATTTATTCAACAGGCCTGCCCTCCAGGCACTGTGTTGTGTTCTGGGGAGCTTGCAGTTTGGCAGGACAGGTGATAAGTGTTGGGGGGATTATATTAGCATTAGAAACACCTTCAAGGAGTTTAAAGGTGGTGGGGCGTGTTGCCTCTCAAGCAGTTGATAGTTCTTAGAGGCTCCTGGAGGCTGAGATACTACTGATCACTCCTTTTGGGGGATGGGTTACAAAGTAAGGTCCCTTGTCTAGTTGGATACTGTGGCTTATAGAGGCCCTTTTGCTCAATGACAGGTGCAGTGGAAATTCCTGCCTATGTTTTCGTGTGCTTGGGGATGGACATTGTGGGGAGAAGAAATATTCTGATCATCTCCCTTATTTCAAGTGCAGTTTTCTGTGGTGTGATTATGGTGATTCCCAAGGTGAGTTATTTTATGTTTTATTTAGGGAATGGTTAGCTATACTATGACAGTTTGATGGGAGAATTTTTAGTTTATTACAGTCAGCATGAAGATCAATTCAGATATATGGACAGAGTATATACATAATATTTAGCAAGATGTTTTCTTTAAAAAAAATCATTCTTTCTCTGTTATGTAAGTAGTACAAGCTCATTGTTGAAATCTTAAGGAAAAAAGAAATATATATTTTTAAATGCCCATCATCCTACTCCCCAGAGGTGGCCAGTATTTTGTAAACACAACAGTGAGTGAGGAAAGTAGGTACCTCCCAGTGACCATCATCTCAAACATTTATTCATTCAACAAAGACCTATCCAGGTGCTATTCTAGGCGCTGAAGACAAAGTGAATCAAGTTTCTGTAAATACCATATCAAAGTCATTCTCCAGAAGGCTAGAGAATGACTGTGCATGGTAGGGAGCACACCTGTGCGCTATTTTATTTTATCTAGAGTGATCAAGGACAGTGTAGGAGCCAAGGTAACATCCGAAGGATATAATATTCAGGATTGTTCCTGTTTAGTTTTGTTTTTCATTGTGATAGATTAGTAGTTGGCAATTTCTAGTATGCATGAGTCCCCCAGGAGCGTGTTTTTAAAAATGCAGTTTCTTATTGCGAAGCACTGCTGTAAACTACTGAGACGACGTTCCCGTTCCCATATTTCAGTGAACTTCATCTCCAGAACACTTCTCGCATCCAGATGTGCTCCTCCTTCCTCCCCAAAAGGCTATCAGAACCTGTATTTTCATTCTCTGTTTGAAAAATATAGTCACTATAACAGTATTTACAATGTTTTATATAATTTTCTCCAGCGATTATATAATTTATTAAGCAATAGTATCTCAATATGTTGCACAAGGTATTTTAAGTTTTGAATATTGTTTGACAATGCATTTAAGCTAACCAGTGACTTCCTTTTATGGTGATACTTTGCTTCACTGAATTATCAGGGTTGGTGAGTCAAATGTTTGTGTAACTGAAGTTTCCAGGTGGTCAATATACAACTGATATGAATGCAATGAAACAAACAACCCAGGATGGGGAGGTCTCCACTAATTTGAGGGAGCTTCGTCCATACCTGTTTTTGTTTGTGTTTTTAAGTAGTTAACTGTAATATTTGTTGAGTTAATGGCAGCTGCCTTTGAGCTGGTGAAGATTTAGGGAACCCCAGAGCCTTCAAGATCTACAGTGGTTCAGCCACAGCAGTAATGGGGAAGGTAAGAAAGTGGCTGATGGGGATTTCCAGAAACAGAGCACTAAGCCCTAATCACAAATTTTTCTTCTCTAATAAAATTTCTCCCCAAATGGTAGTGCTAACACAATATATATATATTTTTTAAAGTCACGGTAATTTCTTCAACAAATATTGTCTACAATAGTAATTAAGATGACAGGTGACACTAGCTGCTGTAATAGAGGCATCCCCAGATCTCAGTGACTTCACAGAACAGATGTCTGTAGCTTGCTCACAGAAAGTCTGCTGTGGGTGTGCCTGGTCAGCAGCAGTGGGAGTGGTGAGGAGAGGATGTTTGGCTCCATGGAGTCATTCAGGGCCTCAGGTTGACAGAGGCACTGCCATCCTCAACACATGAACTCCACAGCCCTCTGGGCCTCACATCCAGCGGGCAGATAAGGGGGAAGAGAAGAGGTGGAATGTGGGAGGTCTTTGGAAGCCACTGCTGGAGGTGGGACACGTTAGGGAAGGCAGAACCGAGGCTTTGCTGTTGAGGAACGAACGCATCAGCCTAAGGGTGGTGGGGTGGTGGAGAGGCTATACTAATGGTTCAGTTATCACTTTCAAATTATTTTCTGAAGGTAATTTATAAGCCACAGGGTTACTGCTGCAAAGAGCACAAATTGTTCTTATGGCTCTTTGATTTATTCCGCTGGCTCAGTTCCAGGAGTAGGTCAGTTATTGGTGGACTCAGCATGTCTGGACGGATCTCGTTCCAAAGCAGCTTTCCCAAGAGACATTCTTTCCTTATTTGGTAATTTGAACTCTCCAGGGCTGGTAGGGAGGCACAGTCAAACTTTCTCTAAAATTTTAAGACAGAAAGCTTTTGCAGACCACGAGATGAGTTTACAAAATAAATTCAAACAGAAAAATAAAACTCTTCATTTTTCCGAAAAATACTGGAGGGTTAAAAAGTTTTACATAATAATTTTTGAGGTTTTATATTTTTCTTTTAAAATGTTACTTGTGATGGTCTATTTTGTAATATTTTTTTCAGGATTACTATGTTTGGAGTGTGGTGACAACTATGGCTGGAAAATTTGCCATAGGCTCAGCGTTTGGCCTCATCTACCTTTATACAGCAGAACTGTATCCAACCATGATCAGGTGAGAGTGACCTGTTTTTCCCACTTGATTTCATTTCATTATATTTAGCCTTTGAGTATGAATGCTTTATTTTCATAGACCTGACTTGAGCTCTGAGTTATGGGGAAGTTACACGATGTTAATTCTGAATCTGAGGCTTTGTCTAAACCTCCACTAGTAAGGACAGTAAAGAAATTGGTTCGAAATAACACTCTGCTATCTTAAAAACATTTTAAATCTTGAATATAATTGACTTACACTGACTGTCCATATGACACAGGCTAATTTTCTCAGGATGGGCCGCTTGAGGCTCCTATGTCAGGTGTATTAGTTTGCCAGGGCTGCATAGCAAAATGCCAAGGCTAGAAGGGTCAAACAACAGAACTTTATTTTCTTACAGTTCTAGAAACTAGACATCCAAGATTAAGGTGTTTGGCAGGTTGGTTTCCCCTGGGGTCTCTCTCGTTGGCTTAAGAAAAGATACATTAAAAGCACATTCTTTCCTTCCTGCTAGATATTTTATAAGGTTTCTTTAAATACCTTTTTAAAAAATAATTCATTTTTTTAAATCCTCACCCAAGGATATGCTTTTATTGATTTTATAGAGAGAGGAAGGGGGGGAGAGAGAGAGAGATCCATGTGAGAGAGAAACATTGATTGGTTGTCTCCCATACACACCCCACAGGGAATTGAACCCCAAACCTTTTGTTGTATGGGACAACACTCCAACCAACTGAGTCACCCATCCAGGGCTAAATACCTCTTAAAGAGAAAGCACATTGAGATATTGCTTAAGTTTAAAAAAATAAAATAAAATGTTCCATAGATAGAAATCTTTTGTTATCCTAAATTCCCATTCCCTACCCCAAATAAATTTGCTCTAGAATATTAATGTTATCTTCAATAATAGACTGAATGGATATACATGAGGGCCTCATCTGCATACCAGATGAAGAATGGTTTACCCTTTTCTAGTCTTGAATTATATGCATGCATGTACCACTGTTTTACAGAATGTGGATCTAAATTACCAGTGATTCTTGAAAAATTAAAGTAAAATTATTTCCAAGTGTATTCAGCCAAGCTTAAGTTTTATTATTCTTTGCTGAGGGTGCACAGGGGTTACAGGAAGTTGTTCCATCACTCTCTGTGCCATGTGTCTACTTGTCTTCTGTTCCTGCTGCTGTCTGTCTTAACTGTCCTCTTGTTTTCAGGACGCAGGCCATGGGGAGCGGCAGCATGGTGTCCCGAGCTGGAAGCATCATAGCCCCGCTCTGCATCTACCTCTCCAGCGTTTGGATCTTCATGCCCCAGGTATTTAATCAGCTTATAGCACCTTGCTTATAGCAGAGAGGCAGACCAGCTAATTGCCTTCTATATTTTTATTTACTGGAAGCAAATTTATAATTCAATGATAGGGGTTTGTAAGAACCTTATTAACAGCTCACCAATCGGTAAGTAGGGTGGTGGCTGCTGTTTCCTTGTTGGCCAGTTGTCTTCCATCCACTGATGAGCTGTACATTACTACTCTGCCTGCCAGGGAAGGGCCTCTCCTCCCATGTCATGAAGCTGGGTCCACAAAGGGAGAGCTCTGGTCTCTGGGGTCACTCAGTGCCTCTGCCTGATCACCTGGCCCAGCCCAGCCTATGCTCCTCCACCTGGACGTGCAGGCTGCCCCCGCCGCAGTCCCTGCCTCTGCCTTCCCACTGCGGCCTGCTGGTCAAGGAGAGTCCTGGAGGCTGCCTGTTCCTTGAAGGGGTCTGTGGTGCTTGGCAGAGAGGTTTGGGTATCTGTGGTTTTTAGATATAAAAAACCGGTTGCCTCTGGCTCTGGTAGTGTGAGCTTTTTGCCTGGTTATGAAGAGTGAAAGCAGTTATGTTTGCTTTGCAGATTTCTTCATGGGGAGCCTGAGAGGTTGGGAAATTATGTGGAGCACTGTTCTAGTTGGGTTTAATAAGGCCCTCTGGTCAGGAGGAAGGTGGGAGATTGGGAGGGGTGGGGGAGAAGGGGCTGGGAAGGAGGGCGTGTCTGGGTTGGGGGTGGCCCAAGGTGCTGCAGAGAATTAGGGGAGAGCCCTGGGTCTGCTGGTCCTCTCCTTCCTCCAAGCTGCCTCTCGAACTTCGAACTTCGCTGTAGCTTTCTCTAGGCTGTTCCCTCTCGGTCTCCTTCAGTTCTTCCCTTTTGTTTTCTGATCGCCTCCGAAATAGACTCCTGTTCCAAGAACCATCCTGGCCGTCTTTCCTGTCCCTGCAGGGGTGCCTCTCCTAAATTACGACTTATCTTGCAAGCCACAGCCCTGTGTTTCCACCAGTCTCATGGATTATTCTCCCTGGGTGTCTTACAACAAATTCACTGTTTCCCAAACTGAGCTGATTGGTGACTTAAATTTCCTCCTTCTCTATCTTCCACTTTGGATTAGGAGTCAGTGGCCTCCAGCATGACACTTGAGCATCACCTTTTATTTATCCTGTTTTTCTTCCCCCATCTCCTCCTGATCCAGGACACTAAGTCCTCACATTCTCTCTCAAAACCGTCCCAGATGGCCTGCTTCCGGTTTAATTCCTCATCAATTCCTGCCCCCCTGGTCATTTCCTGTCCTCCACCGCCACCCCAGAACAGTTTGCTGAACCACAGCTCTGCTCCAACTGCCCCCTCCCCTTCAGAATAAAACCCAAACTCTGCCTGATTCAGTTCGAGTCCTTTCCAGGTGGAACCCTTGCTCATCTAACCTGGTTTGTTTTGGTTCTTCACACACTTCGCCCTCCTCTCCACACTCACCCCCACCCACTCTCCTCCTAAAACACACCTCTGCTCCGTGGAGTGCTCCTCGCCCATCCTCCGTGACAAACTTCCATGTATCTTTTTTTTTTTGGTGTGTGATAATAAGTGATACTAAAACCAGGAAAACAGAAAGGCTAAGTGCTAAATCGGGACCACTGTGAAGAGGGGGGAGAAGCGTCTGGGACCCGAGCACTGTTTCATTGTGGGTGATCAAGAGTGTGATGTGCTTGCTTCATAATTCTTTCTTTCTTTTTTTTTTTTATCCTCACCTGAGGACATTTGTCCATTTTTTTGTTCAGATAGAGTGGGAGGGAGAGAGAGGAAGAATGTGAGAAACATTGATGTGAAAGGGACACATCGAGTGGCTGCCACCCGCACAACCGACCAGGGCCGGGGACAAACTGCAACCGAGGTACGCGCCCTTAGCGGGAACCGAACCCGGGTCTCTCAGGACCGCAGGCCGACACTCTAACCGCTGAGCCAAACCGGCCAGGGCCCAAATATATATTTTTAAAAGACATCTGTAAGGGTCAATTAAGGACTAGTTAAAAGGGATTTTAAAAAATTTTATGTAACAGGTACTTAAATAGTGTTTGTTGCATGACAAGCTCTTTTCTAAGTGCTTTCCGAGAATTAGTCTTCATAGAACACAGATAATGCTTACTGCTATTCCCTTTTTACAGACAGGGACACTAATGTACAGAAGTTGTTATCAGCCCAAGGTCACACACCTCTAAGGTGACAGAGGTTCGATTCAAATCTAAATACCATGCCTTTTACCCTGTTAAACCAACAAACAGTACAAAAGGGATTGCAGAGAAGCAGGCTCCTCCCCCGCCATGACCCTGACCACCCCGTCCCTTTCCCAAGATGACCTCTGTCCGCAGGGTCTTGTGCATGTTTGCAGAAATATTCTATGAATGTGCTCCCTTTGGAGACAACAGGCGTTGCTTGTTTTTAATGAGTAAAACAAATAGCTTATTCAGTTTCTCATTGAGCTTATTAATGGATGTCAAACTGTCAGGGAGCCGGCATTTTCATTTTGAGGAACGGAAATGCTAATCTGGAAGACAAGTTTGTATTTTCTCTTTTGAAAGGAAGCACATGGAAATCACTCGTTCTGATGCTTTTATTATCAACCGTTATTGTCCAGTAGTCTAAAGAAAAGTGGGCACCTAATTCATATCATTTCTGTATTCTTCAGTGCATTTGGCAGAAGTATAGTGGGGGTTGAGTTTGAGGTAACCCCTGTGCTCGGAGCGAAGGAGCAGCGATGAAAGGAACAGCCTCTGCCCTGAGAGGAAGAGTCTGGTGGGGAAGGTGGAAGAGCAAACCATCACAAGCCCCAGAGATGAGGGCTGCACTGGGGAAAGGGGGGGGTTTTGGGGTCCTAAGAGAGGGCTACCAGCCCCGGCTAAGGCCAGAGGGGAGGCTTCCTGGAGGAGGGGGCCTTTAATCTGTATCTTGAGGGGCCAGTAAGACTCAGCGTGGTGGAGAAGAGAATTCTAGGTAGAGGGAACAGAAAAGCAAAGGCTTAGAGGGAAAAGGAACCTGGCCAGTCTGGATTTGGAGGCGAGTATTATTGCTAACACCCAGGGTGGGTTGTAGGAGTCAGGAGATAAGTCTGGAGAGATGAGCAGGGGTCTCAGAGGTCAGAAAGGAAAAGCATTTGGAGTAAAGGTGAGTTTGAGAGGATTGGATGGGGAAGGTATATCCACAGGACCTGGTGACCTGTTGGGTATGGTGGAGAGGGCAGCTGGAGAGATACCAGAATGGTTCTCAGGCTGGAGGGAAGCAGGAGCAGGGGCAGGGGGGGTGTGAGAAAGGGCAGTATGCTAGGAGTGTGAGGCACCCGGGAGCAGATACCTTTACAGGTCTGGAGCTCAGGGGACAGATTTGGAGGGACAGATTTAGGAGTCAGCTTATGTGAAGGTGAGGAGGGAGTGAGGGAAGCTGAAGAGCAGACCCTGGGAGCATGGAAGGTGTGGGGAGGAAGAGTCTGGGCCGAGGCTGAGGCGCAGCAGCCAGGGCGGCGAGGACTCCAGGGGAGAGGCGGTGAGGGGGCAGGAGAAGACAGCGGCTAAGAAAGAGCAGGACAGGAAGACATCCATTGAGTTTGGCCGCCAGGACTCTGGCCTGGGAAGAGCAGCCTCTGCGGGTGGCGGCGGGCCAGGATGCTGAGGGCAGGAGGAAGGAGAGTTGGGGGGGTGGGGTAGCAGGGGCAGCTGTGGAGAGGGCGGCCAGAGGCTGCAGCGGGTGTGGGCCCAAACAGAGGGCCTCTTTTTTGTTTATTTTAAAAGATAACATTAACTGCTCACGGTGGGCTGGACACTGTTGTAAGTGCCTTACACATGTTGTTTAATTTAATCCTTTCAACAGTCTTTTGGGACAGGCACTATTATTATTTCCATTTTACAGATAAGGAAACTGAGGAGCAGAAAAGTCAGGTAACTTGCCCAGGGCCACCTAGGTAGCAAATTACTGGGCAGAGTGGGTTTGGAGATTATAAGAGGCTTGAGAACTTTTATTTTTACTAGCCAGAGACAAGGAGAAGGTAAAAAATATGTGGGAGGAGGGAGGTCTGCTCATGGAGGAAGACAGGGAGGAGGGGGAGGGGAGGCAGAGGGGAAGAGGGAGGAGGAAGTGGGAGGGGGGAGGGAAGGGGGAGGGAGGGGGAGGGAAGCAGTGGGATCTAAAGGGGGTGAAATGCTCCTCTACCAAGTATTCTGTTTAGAGTGGGAGGGGAGAATGGAGGATTATGGTTTTCTTTTTATTGCCTATTATTCTTTCTACCAAGCTATAAAGAAATATCCAGTCTGCCTTGGATCTTCCATTTGATTCTATTTCTTGTTTAGGTGTATTCAGTGTTTTTCAGACCCTGATGCAGGGCTCTTCTGGGCTTCATACATTAGGGGCTATACCTGCTAAGTCTTGAGGCACCAGAAAATGCCTTTAAACACCTTCTGGAGTGTCACTTTAAATCTCACTGCTGCTTCTAGGCTTACTCATGTATTTCTAAGAACCAGATTATCAGCATTCCGTAAAACAAAATAAAAAGCTGGCTTCCCAGGTCACGTCTGTTATTGATGTGGCCTCACATCCTGTCACACTCAGTTGCACTGTGTGTTTCATCTTCTCATTCTCAGAGGTTGGAAGAGCTCCAAGAATGTCGATTTATCAGAAAAACCATGCCTTAAGTTATTTTTATGGGCTCTTCCCAGGCAGATTTTTTGCTACAGGAATTTAAATTATGTAAGGACGGAACACATTTTTACAGACTGTATGAAGAGCTAGTTCTAAAATCCACCCAACGTCTTCATAATGATCAATAGAAAATAGATATCTAGACTTTAATTTTTAATGTGATTTGCATTTTTAAAGACAAACACCTGGTCTAAAAGGTTGCCTTTTATGTGTCAAAATCTGGAAAGTAAAGAAATAGTGAATTTTTATAGGAAATCAGATGGACCCTCCCCCCCTTCAAAGCAGCAATTAGTTTCCATTGCCCTTGTTTTGTTCCCCCTTAAATTCTGTTAGTTTTGGTTCATTGAAACATTCATTGGTGCATGCATGTATGCATTCATTCATTCCCCATCATTTACTGAATGCTGATTGATAGCTTACTGATTATTGGGGCAGGGACAGGGCTGATTAAGACAATTCCTGACCATGAAGTCCCAACCCAAGGCTCAGTTGCTGGGTTTCTCCACAAGACTCTGGAGTCTGGGAAGATGGGACAGGGACTTTTTCTCTGTGTAGCAGCTCCGAGGACAGTGCCTGCAAGAGTAATAATGTAGACAGTAATTGGGATTTATTGAGGAGGTGCTCCACAGTGGCTAATGAATGAATTAATGAGTAGTCAGATTAAACCGAGATGATGTGTTAAAGAACTCCCAGTCCAGCCCAAGTAATCAAACGTCTCATCATGGAATAAAAATGTCAACTGGTATGTCAAATTCAATTCTGTTTCCCTCTGAAAAAGGTTCAGAATTATTATTCTCTGAAGGGTACATTTATTTCTTGATGTGTCACTTATTATTACTGTTTTTAAAAATTCCTTCTAGTTGCTTGTTGGGATTTTGGCCTTTGTGAGTGGAATGCTAACACTCAAACTTCCAGAAACCCTCGGGAAGCCTCTGGCAACAACTTGGGAGGAAGCGACCAGACTGGATGTGGAAAAAGATGGCAGTTCAGGCAAATGATTTCCCACAACCAATAATACTGATGCTGAAAAAAACCAAAACAAAAGTGATTAATTCAGAGGATTTTGGCTTAGTGAATAAATGTGCCATGTGTGCTGTCTAGCACCGGAAATATTGTTTACTTTGATGCCTTTGTATTAGAGAAATATTGTTCTCATTTCTTGTGTGTCCTTTATATCTTTTAAAAAGATTTTTGTAAGAAAGTTTTAAAATAATTGTATTGTAAAAGAAATAAAAACCAAGATGAGAATGGTCATTTTTTAGACTGCTTTGTTGTTGCTGCAAAATATTTTTCCATGTTTGTTCTTTGTCATTGCTTCTCAGCCTTTCCCACTCACCACCTGGGGAATACCACACAATCCAGACTGTTCTGGGGTCGCCCTCCTCCCCCCCGGACTGTCAGCTGTGAGAGTGTGTTTCTTTCTTTCTTTTTCCTTTTCCATGATACTGATATTTATTTATTTTTCAATTGCAGTTGACTTTTAGCATTATATTATACTAGTTTCAGGTGTACAGCATAGTGGTTAGACATTTATATAACTTATTCCCTCTGATTATTCTAATACCCACCTGACACCATATATAGGTATTACAATATTACTGACAATATTCCCTATGCTGTACTTTACATTCCTGTGACTATATTGTAACAATCAATTTGACATCTTAATCCTTTCACCTTTTTCATCCAGCTCCCCAACTCCCTTTCCATCTGGCAACCCTCAGTTTGCTCTTTGTGTCTATGAATTTGTTTCTGTTTTTTTTTTATTATTCTTTAAATTTAATATATAAGTGAAACTTTTGTCTTTCTCTCTCTGACTTATTTCACTTAGCATACATAATACCCTCTATGTACATCCATGTTATTGTAAATAGTAAGATTTTATTTAAATTTTTATGGCTGAGTAATATTCCATTGTATACACATACCACATCTTGTCCAATTGTCTACTGATGGGCACTTCGATAGCTTCCATATCTTGGCTTTGTAAATAACTGCAATGAACATCGGGATGCATATATTTTTTTAAATTATTGTCTTGGATTTCTTCAGATATATAGGAGTGGAATTGTTGGATCATAAGGCAGTTTCATTTTTACTTTTTTAAAAATATTTTTTTACTGATTTTATTTTTTAGAGAGAGAGGAAGGGAGAGAGAAATAGAAACGTTGATGTGAGAGAGATACATTGATCAGCTGCCTCTTGCGTGCCCCCTACTGGGGATTGAGCCTGTAACCTGGGCACGGACCCTGACTGGGAATGGAACCGGGACTTCTCAGTCCATGGGACGACGCTCAGTCCACTGAGGTATACCGGCTGGGCTCATTTTTAATTTTTTGAGGTACCTCCATACTACTCTCCACAGTGGCTATACCAATCTGCATTCCTACCAACAGTGCATGAAGGTTCCCTTTTCTGTACATCCTCACCAGCACTTGTTTGTTGATTTATTGATAGCTGTTCTGACAGTATTAGGTGATATCTCATTGTGGTTTTGATTTGCATTTCTCTGATGATTAATGATGTTGAGCATCTTTTCATCTGTCTATTGGCCATCTGTATGTCCTCTTTGGAGATGTGTCTATTCAGATCCTTGGCCCATTTTTCAATTGGATTGTTTATTTTCTGGTGTTGAGTTGTATGAGTTCTTTATACATTGTGGATATTAACCCCTTCTCAGATGTAGCATGGCAAATATGTTTTCCTATTCAGTGGATTGTCTTTTCATTTTGTTGATGGTTTCCTTTGTTGTGCAAAACCTTTTTAGTTTGATGTAGTCCCATTTGTTTATTTACTTTTGTTTTCCTTGTCTGAAGGGATATATCAGACCAAATATTAGTAAGAGCCATGTCAGAGAGCTTACTACCTGTGTTTTCTTCTAGGAGTTTTATGGATTTTAATCTAATGTTTAGGTCTTTAATCCATTTTGAATTTATTTCCTCTCTGATCTTTATTAGTTCCTTCTTTCTACTCACTTTGGACTTTTTTTTTTTTACTAGTTTTTTTTTTTTTTTTTTTTATCCTCATCCGAGGACATTTATTGTTCAGGTAGAGTGGGAGGGAGAGAGAGGAAGAGAGAGAGAGAGAAACATCGATATGAAAGGGACACATCGAGTGGCTGCCACCCGCACGACCGACCAGGGCCGGGGACAAACTGCAACAAAGGTACATGCCCTTAGCGGGAACCGAACCCCGGTCTCTCGGGACCGCAGGCCGACGCTCTAACCGCTGAGCCAAACCGGCCAGGGCTATTTTTTTTAATCCTCATCCGAGGACATTTTTCCATTTTTTGTACAGACAGAGTGGGAGGGAGAGAGAGGAAGAGAGAGAGAGAGAGAGAAACATTGATGTGAAAGGGACACATCGAGTGGCTACCACCCGCACGACCAACCAGGGCCGGGGACAAACTGCAACCCAGGTACGTGCCCTTAGCGGGAACCGAACCCAGGTCTCTCCAGACCGCAGGTGGATGCTCTAACCGCTGAGCCAAACCGGCCAGGGCTTTTACTAGTTTCTTTAGGTGTTAGGTAAGATTGTTTATTTGGGATTTTTCTTGTGTGTGTGTGTGTGTGTTTTAAGTAGGCCTTCATGACTATGAATTTCCCTCTTTTGCTGTGTTCCATAGATTTTGGGTCATTGTGTTTTTATTTTCATTTGTCTCAAGGTGTTTATCTTTTTCTTGATATTATTTTTAACCCATTCATTGTTTAGTAGCATATTATTCAACCTCCATGTGTTTGTGTATTTTTTATTTCTTCTCTTGTAATTGATTTCTAACTGTGGTCAGAGCAGATTATATGATTTCAATCTTCTTAAATTTATTAGACTTGTTTTATGTCTTAACATGTGGTCTATACTGGAAAATATTTCATGTGCACTTGAAAAGAATGTATATTCTGCTGCTTTGGGAGGAAATGCTTTAAAAATATCAATTAAATATTCTCAATCTAATGTGTCATTTAAGGCTGTTTCCTTGTTAATGTTTTGTCTGTAAGATCTATCCATTGATATCAGTGGGTGTTAAATTCCCTATTATGACTGTATTAGTTGATCTCTCCCTTTATGTTCATCAAGACTTGCTTTATATATTTATGTGCTTCTACGTTGGGTACATATATGTTTACAAAGGTAATATCCTCTTGTTGGGTTGATTCCTTTATCATTGTGTATTATCCTTCTTTGTCTCTTATTATAGCCTTTGTTGTTTTAAAAAAAATTTAAATATGTTTTTATTGATTTTAGTGAGAGAGGAAGGGAGAGGGAGAGAGAGAGAGACAAGATAACAGAGAAACATCAGTCAGCTGCCTTATGCATGCCCCCTACTGGGGATTGAGCCCGCAACCTGGGCATGTGCCCGGACTGGGAATTGAACTGGTGACCTATTGGTTCATGGGATGACACTCAACCAACTGAGCCCCACCAGTCACAGCTAGCATTTGTTTTAAAGTCTGTTTTGTTTGATATAAGTATTGCTACCCAGCTTTTTATCTGTTTCCATTTGCATTAATACCATTTTCTATCCCTTTACTTTCAGTCTGTGTGGCTTTTGATCTGAAATGGATCTCTTGTAGACAGCATATATATGGGTCTTTTTTTTCCATCCATTTAGCTACCTGATGTTTTTGGTTGGATCATTTAATCCATTTACATTTAAAGTGATTATTGATAGGTACATAGTTATTGCCTTTTATTCATGTTTATGTTCCTTTTCTCTCCCTTTTCTTCTTCTTATTTTTTAAATCCCCACCTGAGGATATGATTTTACTCATTTTTTAGAGAGAGAGAGAGGAAAGGGGAGAAAAATGTGTGTGTGTATAATTTTTTTTTCCATTTTTATTTTCAGATAGAGTGGGGTACATACACACACACATACACACACACACACACACACACACACACACACACACACACACACATTGACTGGTTGCCTACTGCACGACCCCGACCAAGGCTGGGTACTGAACCACAACTAAGGTACGTGCCCTTGACTGGAATCAAACCCACGACTGTTTGGTCTGAGGGACGACGCTCTACTGCTGAGGCAAACTGGCTGGGGGGTGGGGGAGGAAAGAAATATTGATATGAGAGAAACATCAATCAGTTGACTCCTGTATGTGCCTCGACTGGGGATCAAACCCACAACCTAGGTATGTGCCCTGACCATGAATTGAACTTGCAACCTTTTGATGTAGGAGGTGATGTTCCAACCAACTCAGCCACCCAGCTAGGGCTCCCCCTCTTCTTAAAGAAGTCTCTTTAACATTTTTTGTAATGCTGGTTGGGTGGTGGTGAACTACTTTAGCTTTTTCTTGTCTGAGAAGATCTTTATTTCTCATTCATTTTAAATGATAGCCTTGCTGGGTAGAGTAATCTTGGTTGTAGGTCCTTGCTTTTCATCACTTTGAATATTTCATGCCACTCTCTTTTGGCTTAAAGTTTCTGTTGAGAAACTAGCCGGCAGTCTTATGGGAGCTCACTTGTAGGTAACTGTCTTTCTCTCACTGCTTTTAAGATTCTCTCTTTGTCTTTAAACTTTGCCATTTAAATTAAGTTGTGTCTTGGTGTGGGCCTCTTTGGGTTTATCTTGTTTTGGACATTGCACTTCATGGACTTGTGTGCCTATTTTCTTTGCCATGTTAGAAAAGTTTTCAGTCGTCATTTCTTCAGATTGGTTCTCAATTCCTTGCTCTCTCTTCCCTTTCTGGTACCTTTATGATACCAATGTTATTGTGCTTAATGTTTTCCCAGAGGCCCCTTAAACTATCCTGATTTTTTAAAATTCTTTTTTCTTTTTTGCTCTTCTGGTTGGATATCCTCTGCTACTTTGCTTTTCAAATAGCTGATTCAATACTCTGCTTCCTCTAATCTGCTGTTGATCTCGTCTACTGTATTCTTCATTTCTGTCTGGATCTTTTTTATGGGTTTCTTTGTCCTTTTTTAAAAAATATGTTTTTATTGATTTTTCTGAGAGAGAGAGAGGAAGGGAGACAGATATAAACATTGATAGACTGCCTCCTGCACACTGCCTACTGGGGATCA